TTGCTATTACATTACAAATAGTGCCACAATAAATAATTTTGAAATACATCATTTTGCATGTAGTTAGGTATATTTGTGGAATACATTTTCTGAAGTGAAATTGTTAAGTCAACAGACTAATGTATTGCTAAGTCAAAGGTCAATTTTTAATTTTTTCGTACTGGGTGAAAGGAAAGCGAGGAACCCAGAGGCAGGTGAGTGAGAAATGAAAGACGGAGATCAGGCAGAGATATACAGAGAGTTATTTGTCAGAGCTGACAAATAAAGGCACATCTTTCCATAGATGGAGAGAGGCAATACAGGCTTGGGTTCTGGGACTTTTATGGGGCAGGCTCAGGGATTAGAGCCAGGTGGGTCCTAATGCAGAAATGCCCTTGGATGGGAAAGCAAAAGTTTTTCTTAAGATGGCAGCTGTCACTTAAGATGGCCATTCAGAAGCTAAGCAAGGACCTTACATTGGGGATTATACCTAGGGGCACTCTACTAATGAGTTGTATTATTTTTCTTTTGAGACAGGGTTTTGCTAAGTTGCTGAGGGTCTCACTGAGTTGCTGAGGCTGTCCTTGAACTTGTGATCATCCTGCTTCAGCCTACCAAGTCGCTGGAACTATAGGCGTGCACCACAGTGCCCAGATGCATTTGTAATCTTTATAAACATTTCCAAGTTACTGTCTTTGAAGGACTGCACCAATATACTCACACCACACCTCAGGGAAGAGCCTCCTTCTCCAAAAAAAGGTTATCCAATTTTTACCATTTGAGGAGTGACAAGTAGTGTCTCAATATGATTTTGATGTGCTATTCTCTCATTTTAGGGTGGATATATTTTAATTATCTTAGAGCTATAAGCATTTTCTCTTCTGGGAACTGTCATATCCTTTGCCCATTTATCTGTTATTGATTTTCTTATTGATTTCTAGGGGCTCTATATGCATAAGGAGATCAGCTCTTGATCTGATATAAATTGTAAAAATTTAAAAATGTTTTCTAATAATTTATCTCTTGACTTTACAAATGGGATATTGTTTTGAGTGTGTAGATTTTTTTTGTTTTAATTTTTAGAAGTTTTAAATTTTATGTTGTCAGATTTTTCAGCCTTTTGTTTTACAGCTTTTGGGCTCCTGTCATTGTTGGAAAGTCTTTTTCCCTCCATATTTATTAAGAAATTCTTAGGTTGCATTTTTATTTGTTTGCAGTTTGGTGGGTCACATAAATAAAATTATAATATTGATATTATTCTATGGTGACTTTTTTTTACACTTACTAATATTTTCTGGACACCCTTCCCTGTAAGCAGATAAAGATCCACTTCAATTGTGTTGATAACTGCAAGATGTGCCACGGTAACTGATGTTTATTTATTATCCACTATCAATGAGCTTTCAAGTGGGTCCCTATTTTTCAGTATCATGAACAATATTGGTGGGACAAATCTTGCAACTTTGTCCTACTGAGTTATGAGGCTGGGAAGCCTGAGAGGCACACAGCCAAACCTTCAGGCTTACAGTGTACTCATTTTGTTTGTTTCTTCTCTTGTACGGCCCCCTAGTGGCTTGTCAAATGCAGGAAACAGGGCCAGATTTGGAGACGTGGTTTTTCTGACATTGAATCAATGAACTCAGTGGGTATTTGCAGTCCTCTGATTCAACTCTCTCATTTGACACATGGGGAAACTAAGGCTTAGATAAAGATGGTAGCTTGTTCCATCTCACCAAGCACAAGAAGGCTTAGTGCTAGGCCCAAAACCTAGTGTTAGGGGATAGAAAGATGAGAACAGTGGGAAAACGAGGTTAACAGAATAATTATATAAAATGAGCCCACTGTGCTGACCCCCACACACTTTATTTGCCAAAAAGCAATTTACCTGCAGCCCTGCCTGGCCTAAGTGGACAGGATATGTCACATTCCTCAGCAAACTACCTGTTATGTGCAAGGAAATGTAGGCAGGCAATAAGGTTGAAATAAGGAACCCAAGTTACTTTGAAGGAAGAGACATTTGATCTTTTCACAGGCCAGATTCTGGAAGATAAGGATAATTACTTCTAACCACAAAACCTGTAAAAATGATTGAAAATCCAATTCGAACTGCTCAACATGGGCCAAGGGAACCTAGCATTGCCATGCCAATTGGTACATGAAAGTCTGATGTCACCCTGCTGTCAGTCAAAAATCAAGAGGTAGACCTGGACAGAACTCTCTGGAAACTTCCATGGGATCCCCCAATAAAACTGGAGTGCAGGAGAGGCACATTGTCTCTTCTCTGAGAGAACCCATTCTCTCTCTAGAGAGTGTCAGGCTTTCCATTTTCCTATCCCTTCAATAAATATATTCCTCCTATTCTTAATAACATGTCTGAAAGTTTTTTTCTGACTTGATTATAAGAACTAGGGTTTGGGGCTGGGGTTGAAGCTCAGTGGTTGAGCGTTTATCTTGTAAGCGTGAGGCACTGGGTTTGATCCTCAGCACCACATAAAAATAAATAAATAAAAATAAAGATATTGTGTCCATCTACAACTAAAAGAAAATTTAAAAAAAACTGGCATTTAAAGAGGAGGTCTTTGCACTGCCTCAGTTTCCTGGAAAGCCCAAACTCTGTAACACTAATGCTCTTTTCCCCCAGTCTGCAGCTCTGCCAGTATGAGGCTGATCTTTATATTATATGGACTTTCACTCCCTGACATGTTCAGCAGGTCACAATATCTTAAGAGTCTGGCTGAATAAATCTTATATTCATGTAAGGAACTCAATGTTTCTGGGTTATCAGTTAAGGGAGAGTTTTCCTCCTGGGCATCTCACTATCATAACCACTATGAGCCAACTGGCTAGTTTTAGAGTGAGGCCTGTGGGGTGGGGAGATGGAAGTTGTCAAAATTTGAGGTATCCAAGACCCAGAAAGCATCTCTGTGCCATTCAAGAACTTCTCTGCCAGGGGGCTGCAGAGGATGGACAGTTGGTAAAAAGGAGCTCCGCACTATGTTTCTTTGAAAGGGGTATCCTATTTCACCAACTTAACTTGTTGGCTTTCTGAGTAAAAACTGGACCTGATGCTTCTTTGCAGGCTTCTGGGGGCTCAGCTCATTGTTGAATGTTTTCTTCACTTCAATTTCTCCGTTCTCCAAACCACCAGAAAAGTTAGTTATGTCAAAATTCCTCTTTTTCCTCTTGCAATTGCATTGGCTATAACCCAATCACTTTCCTGTCTTTTAGTCTTATATCTCTAGTGAAACTCAAAGGTCTTAAGGCAGAATTTGTGTTGGATTCCCTGCCACGAAGTCTCCTCTTGATCTTCTTATTTCTCCTGCTCTATTTATGTAGGTACAATCTTGCCCTCTCTTTAGAAGAGAGCTCAGAGCCTGGATCTCTTCTATCAAAGAGAAAGAGGCAAATATTTTAATTTTGTATCTCTGATTCTAGACCTTGTTAATTCTTTGCTCTTCTGATTCTCATGACAGCCTCAGAAAATGTCATTACCACAGCAGAAGGTGCAAAACTTGGATTTCAAGGCTTTTCCCCCCAGAAACAACCCTCCCCCTTTCTTCCTTTTCAAGCCTGGAACTGGGTGCTGCCAGCATACTCTGGCTATCAAAGGGGTAGTATCTCTAGTAGTAAGAAAAGGCCCCATTCTGCAGGTCTACATCTTCTTGCTCATACCCACCATGGACCCTCCTCCAATCAAGAGGCAAAGTGCTCTTACTGGGCTAAGACAATAATGAACAAGATAATGGACTTTACTCAGGTTATTGCTATAAGGGGAAACCCCACATATGTATGGTCTTGGTAGGGTGTAAAAGGAAAGCAAGGAACCGGGCAAGCAAAAAATAAAAGATGGAGATCAGGCAGAAATACACACAAGAATTTATTTGTCAGAGCTGACAAAGGCTCATCTGTCCATAGAGGGAGAGAGGCAATACTGGCTTGGGTTCCGGGACTTTTATGGGCAGGCTCAGGGATTAGAGCTGGATGGGTCCTAATGCAGGGTGGGGTTGGTATGAGGGAGTGGTGAGCCTTTCACAAAAAAGGGCTTGGGTGGGAAAGAGAAATTTTTCTTAAAATGACAGATGTCACTTAAGATGGCCCATCCAGGACCTTACAGGATGGTTTAGCCTTAGACAGTTTTAGTTCGGTGATGGGGGGTGGGAGGATGATGGAGTAGCTGGGATTATTTGGTTATAGGGAAAAGTTTGTTGGTAGGATGAACAAAAAACGTTTTGTGTAGCTAGTTTCAGGGTACAGAGTTCAAATCTCAGCTAATCAGTCTTGAGACCATGAATAGGAACTTAGAAGAGGGTCTGTCCCTGGCCTTATAGGGCTTGTCACAGGTGAACAGGGGATCATCTGTAGGTCTTTTTAACTAAGTCATATGGAGAAGGGTGGTTCGTTACAATGAGCTGTTTCAGGAACAAACAGATGAAGAGGACATTTCTTAACCATCCTGTTTTCAGGAGCTTAGGTGCAACATGACCCTCCTCAGGTTTCATCAGGTGATCTTTCTGCAGGCAAAGATCTGTACTTCTTATTGTTGATCAAATGGGTCCTTAAGGTGGAAATTAAATAGTTATTTTATAAAGAAAGGAAGTAAAAATGCCTCGAAGGAGGTCTTGGTCACTTCAGTTAGTAATGCATCAACACTGCCTAGACTTGGAACTACAAGTCCCAGAGAACAGTGCGCCACCCCTTCGACACACCGAGGGCGGGAGTCTTTCGCCTAGCTGCAGGACTGAGAGTTATCTGGCCTAAAGATACAAAATGTAATTTTCGGGGTCTTCATTTTTCTCAAGAGTAATTCTGATGCTCCTCCAAGAAGAGGCCGACACACTCAAGAGAGAAACCTCGCTCCCACGCAGGACAAACCAGACTCCTCCGGAGGGGCGTATTTAACTAAAGCTCCCGCTCATTTTTCCCAATAGTCTCCTTTCCGGCGGTGCGTTGCGTCATTACTATTACGTCTTCTCATTGGCCGGTTTGACGCATGATAGCGCCTGCGCACTGCATTCCTTTGAGGGTCGTGGGCAGACGCCATTTTGGTCTCAGAGGTGCTTCTGGGAAGTAGAGCGCCGACCCGCACGCTTGCTGGCTTTCCCGGTACGGCCTTTTCTGCTGGGGCTCCCAGGTCGAAGCGTTCGTCTCTGCTGCTGCGGTTTTCGTATTCTCCGAGCTCTCCGGTTAGGCCGGAGCCTCAGCACCGGGTAGCGCCATCGGAGGTCACACCACCAGGAAGGAGGTGACGGGGGCGGCGCGGGGCGCGGACACTCCCCGCTAAGAGCCCGCCTGCCATGGACTCGGAATATTACAGTGGCGACCAGTCAGGTGGGTTCGGGTTGGGGACCGAGCGATTCCTCGGCGGGCCTTGGCCTCGCGCTCTCGCGGGAGCGGGGAGAAAAACCCCGGAGACGAGCCTGCCGATCAGCGAGCCGCCGGCTCCAAGTTAGAACCTTGGAGAGAGGGGATCTTTGAGGGAAAGACGTCTTCCGAATAGGTGAAGGTTTTTGCTGAAATCGGGAAGTCACTACCTATATCAAGCACCTGCCGTATGCAGAGTGTTGGGAAAGAAGAGGCTTTTCCTGTTAAGGATCTTTCAGAAGTTACGGGTTTTTTTGAGAACCTAAGGAAATTGTTCAGTAGGAGGCTGGGGACCCTTCCTAGACTTTTCATTCCAAGTTAGGGCTCATTTAATTCGCCTGCCACACTGGCTTCCCAGGATGTAAGTGCAGGACCTTTGTCTGAGTTGTAAGGAGTGCTTCTCTGGCTGTTATTGATGACTTTTTGCCTTTCCTTTACCTTAAGAGCTTTCCTTTTTCCTCACCCAAGTTTGGTCTGCTTTCCTTCTCATTCATGTACACTTATCCCCGTTGGGCAAGCCCTGGCACCCGGGATGTAAAGTTGAGTAAGGTAGGACCTAGTGGGCTCCTTTGCCATTTGTACGTTCTGTATCAAAAGTGCTTAGTTGTTAGGACATAAAGCTCTCTCCTGTTTTGGTTTCCCTTTAATTCCTTACTTGTGACAGCAAAAACAGTGATTGTAAGTACTTTTCAGGCATGCACTTCTGTTTTGCTTAAAACGTTTTCTGATGTTTTCAAAAGAGTTTTTCAATTCATTTGTGTTTTAAAGTTGCTTTTTAAAAAAAGGTAGTTGTATGTATTATAGTAGGTAGGTTGTGTTTAAAGAGGTAACAAGTTGAGGTAATAGATAGCAGTTCCCTGACACCCCCTCCTCCTAATTTCTGAACTTTTAATATTTACCTCTCTTCCTAACTTAGGCTGTTTCTTCTTGCATCATTTTTAGTCGTTCTGTAATGCTTTCCTATTATGCCAGGACAGTATTTTAACCTTTGAACGCCCTCTTCTCATCTATCCTTCCACTGATGCTGTGTAATTGTTAAACTTCAAAACTATTCTTTTTTTTCCCCAAAAACTATTCTTTCTATTGTGACTTCTTAACTTTACTCTAGCTAAGTATAGTAGCTCATTTATATGAGAGTGATTTCATCACTTTTTGGATTTTTAAAATATTGCTTAAAGTTAGGTACCAATTCATAATTATGGTTGATTTTTTTTTTTTTTTTTTACTATTGTAATATATGCTTTAATGAGTTTTGACTATTTTTGGACTGGAGTTCCTTGTGCTTTTCATTCATAAACAGATACTTTATATCATGTACCAGGCAGTGTTCTGGGTTCCAGGGATTCAGCAGTGAACTGAAAGTAGAATAACTTGAAAAAAATCTCATAGTACATTAGAAGTTGGTGGTAAGTGCTCTGGAGAGAAAGACAGTTTTTAACATAAATTTGAAATAAATAGCACTTTACTTACAAGTTACTGACATGGTATTTAATGATGTTTTTTAAGCTTTACATTCCTTTTATGAGTATTTTTGCTACCACGTGCGCCATATGTTAATGATGTTGGTATTTGTATGACTCTTGTATTGCTTTGCTCAAAATATTACCATCATTAGTTTTGCTTTGTCCATAGTAACTTTTGCTTTGGATAGTCTTAAATCATTGTGTTTGTTTCAGCTACAGCTGTCATCCATGTTAACTGTAAGTGGATTTTTGTTTTATTTTTAAGCAGATGATGGTGGTGCTACCCCAGTGCAGGATGAACGGGATTCTGGATCTGATGGTGAGGATGATGTAAATGAGCAACACTCTGGATCAGATACTGGAAGCATAGAACGACATTCAGAGGTATTGGCTAAATATCTTTGGGGAAGATTTTTCCTTGTACTTTTGTGAGACCTGTTTAGAAGTTGTAGAGACCCTGCCATAGGACTTGGGGTTTAATCTCTGAGAGTAAAGTATGAAGTAATAGAAAACCGCTTTAAAAATAAATAGGGATGGTCTGGTTACTGATGTAATAACAGGGAAATAAGTTCTGACTGTGTTGAATTTCAAGTATTTAGGCAGTTTTAACTGAGTATATGAAATCAGATAATGAGCCAGGCCTTTAATATTTGACTTGGCTTCCCTAATCCCCAGATATCATCTTGTTGGGGCTACGAGCATTTGCAGCCTGAAAAAAAGTTTAAATAAAAAGTTAGGAAATTTTCACTTAATAAAACTTGTATCAGGAATTGACCTTTTTGTTTTGAATTGTTGAGATTCATATGATAAAAAAAACAAGTGTAGTTTTAAAAACTACTTTTGTAAAATAATACAGTATTGGATTCTCTATACATTTTAACATTCGTTCTAATACATAAATATTATTAAAACAACTTAATCTGCCTCCTTGGTTATATAGTCTGTCTTATACAGTGTTAATAAAATAAATTTGGGACATTTTTCAATGAATCAGTGTGTCTTAGACATAAACAAATAGGAATGATAAAAATGGAGAGATGTTTTTCACTAATTTGCTGAGAGGCTGGCTTTGAACTTGTGATCCTCCTGCTTCAGCTTGACAGGTGGCTGGGATTACAGGCATGTACCACCATGCTCCAGAACTCTTCTCAATCACTCCATCATTCTTATTTTTGTTTTGTTTTGTTTGTTTGCAGTGCTGGGGATTGAACCTGGGGACTTGTGCATGCTAGGAAAACACTCTACCACTTAGCCCCACATCCCAGCTCCAAGATAGACAGATTTTTCTAAGAACTTTTGTGCCATAGATTTGCTTAATTAAACACATAAAAAATTACCAAATTTTACATACAAGATATTCTTGCAAATTGTATTGACCATCATTATAGAGTCATGTCATTTTTTATATGTTTGTGTCATTAGTATATTCATACATTTCTCATTTATTGAGCACTTTATATATGTGTTAGTTGTTTGGTTTTTTTTTTCCTTAAGGTGTTTTGGACATATCAGTGACTAAAAGCCAGAATCCTTTTCTTGGATTTATTTTTCAGTGAGAGAAGAAAGACATTAAAACAACATACTGTTTTTTAAAATTGTAGTTTGTTAGAAGGTGACAAATGTTGTGGATCTGGGGAAAATTAGAATGTAATGAAGGATATCAGTATGGAGGGCAAATTTCTGTGTTAAATTAAGAAATAATGCCAGGTGTGGTGTGCATGCTTACAATCCTAGCTACTCGGGAGGCTGAGGCAGGAGAATCATAAATTCAAGGCCAGCCTGGACAACTTAGCAATATCCTGTCTCAGAATAAAATTAAAAAGGAATGAGGATGGAGCTCAGAGGTAGCTCACTAACCTAGCATGTGGGAGGCCCAGCGTTCAACCCCCACCACCACAAAAAAAGAAAAGATAAAGTGACATTTGAGCCAAGGCAGGAAGGGAGCTGAGGGAATAGCGACACATTTATGTGTCTGAAGGAAAAAAACATTCCCATGAAGAACCCCAAAGTGAGAGTGCTTAAAGTTTTCAAGGAGCCAATGTGAGTAGTAAGGATGAGTGTAATGTAGGATGAGTGGAGTAGTAAGAGTCAGGGAGCTAAATACAGGTATGGGAGTGGCTCATCATTTAATTATTTCAATGTCACTCTTGTTGTTTTTTTGTAGGCCCTTAAATATTTAGGCTAAATTCCAGTAAATTAATAGGTAGGGGCTAAGTGATAATGTCAGCATTATTATAGTACATTTAGAGTGTAGTATTTTAAGTTTCCACCTTGAAAACAATGTTAGGAGATTGACCCTAGGTGTCAGCTTTGATTATCTCAGGGCCTCTTGATTTAGTTATAAACATGATAAAGGTTCTTGTTTAGGCATTTGCAGCTACTTCTTTATAATAATATGTATTCTAAATATATAAATGGATATGTTAAAAATTTGGAAATTATATCAGTAAATTTAAAGAAGATTAAAATTAGTATACGTAATCCCATTAATAGCTATTAACTTTTTGACATTGTATTTCCTACATTTTAATTCTCTCCCATGCATATAAAGTATGTGTATATTTTAAACTACTTGAAATTTTACTATGTATATTTTGTATCTATTATCTCTTCACTTAAGATTATGCCTTAAGTATTTACTGATATTGTTAAAGAGCCCCACTAAGTGTAATTTTAATTGTTTCATAGTATTGGTGCAACATTACACTCATCCTTCCATGTCCAGGGGGATTGGTTCCAGGTGTCTTTTCCACCCTGGTGGATACCAAACCCAGAGGATGCCCAGATCCCTTATATAAAATGAAATGAAGGCTGGGAGTATAGTCTGGTAGTATATCATGTACTTATTGAACAGAAAGGTTGGGCTGGGTCTTCAGTACATGCATGTGCAAATTTTAAATGGCATGATATTTGCGTATAACCTATACACATCCTCCTGTATAAATCATCTCTAGATTATTTATAATACCTAATATAACAAAAATGCTATGTAAATAGTTATGACACTGTATTGTTAGGGAATATTGACAAGAAAAAAATGGTCTGTTCTAGGCCTAACTGCATATATTTTTTTTTTGGTACCAGGGATCAAACCCTGGGTATTCAACCACTGAGCCACATCCTCAGCACCCATTTTTTTGAGACAAATTCTTGCCAAGTTGCTTAGAGCCTCGCTAAATTGCTGATGCTGTCTTTGAATTTGCAGTCCTCCTGCCCTAGTGTCCCTAGCTGCCAAGATGATAGGCATGCACCACCATGCCTGCCCATTTCTTCAAATGTTTTCAATTGGTGGTCTGACATTGGTTGAGTGCTTATTTGGTGAGTCCCTAATTGTTGACATTTAGACGATCAGGACTGTTTCCTTTTTCTAACTGTAACTGGCTACTAAATTCCCTTGTTGCCCCTTGATTGTGCTATTGTGTTTGAACATGCCCTGGAACATCAATTGCTCTTCAGACTAATACCATCAAATTATGGCTCCTTTAAAGGATTTCTGAGAACAGTGTTTGAGAGTATTTTAACCCCAGTGTGTTTCCTCCCAGCTGTCCCTGGTTCTGTTCTGCAAACTAGATATCCTACAGTTTAGACTGTACCTTGAATCTCAGTCCCAGGTGCCTTCCAACCACAACTTTCCCAAATCATATTGCCAATGAAGTAAGTTTCTTTGGGGAATGATTGGGAGCTATCTGATTGGGAATCAGGTCTGTAGAGCTCGTCACACCCACCTCTAGAAACTGACCTGTTTAGTGGGAGGTGGGAGTGAAACAGCAGCTCTTCTCCTAGTGCAGTCTCACAAGCCAGAGCCAGGGTGAGGAGAGCACTTGTATTTTCAAAGTGCTTCACCCAAGGCGGAACCTTCTTCATTAAAATTAAGTAATGGTGGGGCAGAAAATGAGGTTCTCCACCTCACAGGTGCACTCTGCTAGGCCTTATCCTTAGCAGTGGGCATCCAAGAGTCGAATGCCCTGCTTTAGGAAGGAATCCTCTGACTGGGAGAAAGAAGAGAGAGCCCTGTGTTATTGTCTAGAGAAGGTTCTCTGTCTTGTAGAGCTGTGAGGTTGAAAGGAAGGAATGATCTGTTTTTCAGATACCAGATACTCTTGCTGAATTTTTATGGATTTTTTTAAATTTGCTTTTTGCTCTTAGGACTATTTCCAGAGGCTTTAAATGATTACTTTTGAAAGATTTCCTGTCGGTTTCACTGGGGAGCAGGTCAACAGAACTTCTCATGCTATTATGCCAGAAGTCCTCATTTGGCTTCATTTTTATCTCTTACTGGTTGGCCAAACCTTTCCATTTTCCCCCATTCAATTGCTTGTCTGTTACTACAGTTTTCATTGGGCCCTTTGAGCTTTCTCATCTCGTTTTGTGTGTGTGGATCAGGTTCCCAGGTCCTGTCAGTTGCCAACCCTGCACAGAGAGCAGCCTTGGGTTGCTTTTCTGGTCAAGAGATTCTGCTAAACCTGCTGTGGGCCTGTAAGCCCATGCCTAGGCATTACAGGATATTTAACATCTTGGTTCCCCATGAAATACTAGTGACATATACATGATCACCCCTCAATTACCAACCTTGTACTTGACAACCAAAATGATCCCTTGAATCCCCAAATACCACTTGGATGAGGAGCTAGAACTGACCTTGGGCTGAGAACACTGAAATGGAATAATTAGGTGTGTGATCATAAGAAAGGAAACCATGAATATTTGACAGTGTAGAAAATGAGGAATTCAGTGCAATCTTAAAATTGTTTTCAAAGAATTTTGAATGATATGGGAGAATTCAACATGTTACTTGAAAGATATAGGCTATAAAATTGTAACTCTAGATCCTAATTTAATTTTTTAAATTGAAAATACATGAAAAGATTACTTGTACCAAAGTGATGGTAATCTTTGGGTGGTATGAGTCACATTTCGTTTTTTATTCTATAGTGCACATTAATCTTTAAAATTGAAGAGAAAATAAGTAGAATAACTGCCATCATTTTGACACCCTTTTCTATGAGCATGCATGCAGTGATTAAAAATGTACTAAAATTTTAGAAGAACCTTGTAACGAACCCTTTCAAAACTGGAAAGATAAACCTTTTTCTACTGGCAGTTTTTTTTTTTACTTTGTTGTTTTTTCCATTTTTAATTGTCTTTAATATAATTTGGATATCAAATTATATTTTCTTAATAGATCATATGGAAGGACAGAGAGAAGAGTAGGAGAAAATGTACTAAAATTTGCACTTCCCTATTTTTTTTGAAGACTATGCATTTCCAATTGCTCTGGTATCTCTGCACCAGGAGACTGTAGGCATTTTTCTGTTCTGACTTTTGTCTTATAGTTTCTAAACCAAGAATTAAACTTTTAAATTGAAATACTTTTTTAAAAAATA